CACCAACTGCGCCCCACATGGTCCTGCCTCAAACTACCCTCGGAAAAACACTTATCGTCAGTACCAAAACAATCCAGCACAACAGCTGTTCACGCACAGTTCCCTTCCCGCCCTCCTCTGCTGATACCCTCGGAAACGAACTTCCTGTGAGCCGCGTCGGCATGAGCGCACTTGAGCATTCACTGCCACCTCTGTATCCCTTCTTCCCAACACCGCCGTCAAATGGTACCTTCGTGCACCAACTAGTTCTGCTTCTCGCATCTAACGAGGCTGCTAAAAATGCAGTAGGCATGATTGAAAGGAACATCGCGGGCATGCTGGCGATGGCGAGATGTTCGAATACTCGACAAAATTTGTTGACATGCGCTGTCTTTTCCAACAAGGCAATTGTCTTTCAGATCTGTCTTGTACCCCAAAAATCACTTACAGGCTGTCTCGGCAGACTCGGCATTACGGCCCATACGATGAGCATCTTGTAGATGGAAACATGCAAGAATTCACTGTGGACCTGTGCATGACGGGATAATGCACCTTCAACAATGAAACGGAAGCGATCACGCTGCGTCGCGTTCTTTTCCCCGTAGGTATAGCCGGCAGTGCACTGTCCAGATGTAGTAGCGACGCAAGCCATTGTGCAACGCAACTGTTTCAACGCACGCAGGCCAGCCGCTTGTGAGCAGAGAAGCATTCCTGCCTGTGTTCACGTTTCCGGAATTCATAATTGCCGTCAGAAATGAGAATTAGACCCCGCGCAACACGGTGTCTTTTACCACTGTCTTCTGTTGCGTGTCCATTGCCATCAACACAAACCGCTAGTTCGATGGGGTTTCGGCAGGCAAAGTGACTGACTTCGTTCAGGGCCAGTCATGCAGCGTTCCATCTTGAAGCAATACTCAGGTAAACATAAAGGCCGCGACAGTGGATGGCGACAATATCTTTCCTACTCTACGAGAAATAGGTATCATGTATTTGACATTGCTAAATCCATGTTGTATTACGGTATAGTTTGACCTCTCTTGCTCCAAAAGATTTTATCGTCCATCTCAAGTTGGAGCTGGTGCAAAAATTCTGACGTAATAAACACACTGTATACACTAGTTTAAGTCCGCAGAGTTCCATTTTGCTAAAGTGCAAAATCTGATTAGTCTCCACACAGGTTTGCTCCATGACTCTGCCAGAAGCCATTTGATAAGCTAGCTCTCACAGCCCCGCAAAAAGTGCCACTTCAAGCGACCTCCAATGTTGCCTTCATCAAGTTGCTGTGCGCTTGCAACAGTAGAATGTACAGAATGTGCAAATTCGCACCACACAAGCCAGCCTGTTGCGCGACATCAAATTCACGTCTAAGAAAAATCTGGATTCCCGTCACCACTCAAGCGACCTCCAATGTTGCCTTCGTCAAGTTGCTGTGCGCTTGCCACAGTAGAATGTGCAAATTCGCATCAGACAAGCCAGCCTGTTGCGCGACATCAAATTCACGTCTAAGAAAAATCTGGACTCCTGTCCACGCTTGTTGCCCTACTGAAATTAACCTCCAACTTCTGCTTGACTGATCTGATGCGAGCTCTTTTAGTGTTAATAGTCCAAAATGCAGGCGTCATTCTGCTGTGGGGATCAAAAGCGACGGCGATATAATGACTAGATTCTTCTTACTTGTCAATTCCGTGTATATCCACAACAAGAAATGCTTGTGTTTGCATGCTCTCTTTGTTCAGGTAAAGTGATTATGCTGCGAGCCTACAAGTTGTGCCTGGAGAGATAAATGAGGTCATGCATTTCTTTTATAAAACAGCAGAAGCGAAGTCGTTTCCAAGAACTGGAAGGTATCCAAAACCATTCTAGACTGAACACGGGGAGAAAAGATAAAAGCGCAAGTGGGATTGGCCACCAACACCACCACGTTGCATGAACAGCACGAACGCCACGCTCTTCCTGAGGTCTATAGCAACAAGCTAATAGAATAAAGCCGCATTTCCGCAAGAGTACCTCTCCCCCGCCACAAGCAGGACACAACAGACGTTCCAATCTTTAACTAATCCTATGAAAACGAAGACACGTGTACTCTTTCGGCCGGAAACGATGTTGCTTTTTGCTGCCCAGGCCGCTAGAGGGGGCGCACATTGTGTGGCGTACTGGGCCTTGATCAATCACAAGGAGGATCCTAAACGCTCACTTCTTTCTAAGAAAGTATCCGTTATTTATGTGGAATACTCAAGTTGTGATGCTGCTCCTGAGACAAACGTGTCTACTGTAAGCGGAGACTTACATGGTATTGTTCTTCGACGGGCAATGTAGGTTGCTGCGGTGTTCGATCTCCAATTCTCCTGTCGCCAGGGATCTTTTTATAGCCCTGTACAACAGCGTATCCGACAGCCATCACAGTGAATAGGACAAAGATGCTCGTGAAGATGAGCTGCCGCCTGTATGAAGAGGCTTGCGTTGTCCCATGCGTCATGATTGCCTCCTCCTGTGTAAGAAGTTCACTGTCGCCCTCACTCAAATGACTGTTTTGTCCACGGGAAACATCTGTTGCCACAGTAATGCTGAGAAGCAGGGCAAAAGTCCCAGTGAGCAGAAGAAATTGGCACATCTTCGCGGCTCTATCGAGATATCTTTCCAGCGAAAAGCCTTTGACATGAAGAGAAAATAGGTAACGTTGGGAGCTGTAATGTTTATCTGCCTAAACTCTGGTGATGTAGGCTGCCACTTACATGTCCTGAGCAATGACTGGTCTGCGCAGCGCTGGCTGCCAGACCTGGTGACCATCGCTCAGGGACACTCCGCTGTTTCAGCTTGATGGTTCTCCAGCATAAAAAAAGCTTAATTCATGCTTATGTTGATTTTCCTAGCTGCTAGCTTTTTCAAAACAGCAGAGCTCATGAATGTGGATGAATATCGGGCATTTCAGTCTCTAAGGCCGTCGGCTGCCTTGCCTTCCAGGGGTTTGTCTCGAACCTTACGTCCACCTTTTGCAGACAGCTCCCCAGTTGAGTTCAAATGTCAAATAATGGGAGAGAAGTGGAGACCCTACTGTGGTCCAGCGTCCTTCAGGTCAATAGCGTCGGTACAAAGCTGAGGAGTAGCCCCGCTCCCGTACAATCTGTTAACGTTTTGCGAACACCTCTCACAAGCGATGATCCCCTGAGTACCCTCAAACAAAACTGTATGTACACAATCGATATGGAATCTGATTGTAGGAGCATTTCTGTGAGGGCAGCGTCCCACAGGAACTCTCGGTCCTGTTCAAGAACCAGCACGCGAGGTGAACCAGTGGCATACCTGCGGGAGTTATTGGCAACAGCAAACTAACAGCGACAGGATTTATAGTATGCGCCGTTCTTGGAGTGTATGGGCCCTAGTAAAAAAGAAACATATGAAAACAAGCAAATGCTTGGTGTGTATGGGCCGTAGTAAATAAGAAACAAATGAAAACAAGCAAATTCTTGGGGTGTATAGGCCCAAGTAAATAAGAAATAAATGAAAACAGGCAAGGGAAGCGACGCAAAGTAAGATCCCCTTGGCGCTTCTTGGAGGCCAGCTACACAGAGGCAAACTTAGCGGAGGCGAAGACACCTAGCGCACTAATGAGCTGTACATGGCAGGAGTATTAACTTGTGAGAAAATTCATATCATCCCGCAGTTCAATACTAATGGACTGGACTATACATGGCAGGACTATTAACTCCTGAGTACACTCATATCATCCCGCCGTTCAGCTCAAAGCACGCCACGAAGTTCTGAACGGTGTTCATGGCGGTGTTGCAACAATGAACGTTCGCATTTAGACATGCCATTTCAATTAAGATACATAATTCATCTGAAGGCTGGCTATGGAAGGACTTGAATTGGACGTTGCGCGAGAGTAGGAAGGGGAAATAGACGAGAGAGACCGCGACTCGTTTCGAAATGTTATTCTCTTACGAGGCGGAGTGCCGAATCGCCTTCATGCCATCTTGGAATGGCAAAAACACTCAAAGAGATTCTTTTTGAGAGTCAGTGGTGAATATCTTGAGGGATTTCCCCAACTTTTGTTATTTTCGCATCAATTTGCCTTTTCATTCTACGAAATGAAATTATTGGTTCTATTTTATCGTGCGACCCGATTCCCACTTCTTCTTTTCCTAGCCTAGAGACTTACTTTCCCTATTGCGAGCCACTCCACGCAAAAAGCTGGTTCAACTGCAGGGTGAGCTCCGCCGTCGCATTCGAAAGGAAATGGACAAGTAACAGAACCCATATTCCGAACGGGAATGCTATATGAGTTAGAAACAAGTTGAATATGCGATAATTAGAATAACAGCTGCGTTTGAGTTGAAGCTGAGACAGTGCGTTCGGGAGGAACAAGATGTAATGTAATAGAAGACTAAGTCCATGAAATTGGCTAACTCCGCATTTGCAGACGGATCAAAAAAATGCACAGCTCCGCTGAGCACACCTGAACGTCTGCTGGAAGACAAGACCAAGGAGTGGCTAGAAATACTTTGAGAAAAGAACAATTAGCAAAGCACCGAAGATAGCAAGATGAGGGAAGTACAGAATCTGCATAGCAAAGCGCCTCCACAGTTGCCCAATCCGCCGTCCGAAGACGCTTTAAAACGCATAACAACGATACTGACGGCCAACACGCACGCACAGCACCACTAGAAGAAAAGGCTCAGCACCTCAGCCATGTAAGGCATCAACCGATTTCGCGGCATCCACAGTCCAGGGAATGTCTGGACAGTCGTCTACGGTGTCACCACCTTCGTCACACCTCTCCACTTGTGGAGGACTCGCGAGCCACTATTTCCTAGCACGAGGGTTTCCTCCTTCCGACGAAAACAAGGGCTACCAACAGCTGAGAGGGCGATAAGGGCTCCACGGAGGACTGCAGGGAGAATCTCCAGTACAAAATCACAAGCACTTGTCCTTCGAAACTTATCGCTAAGTCCTGGAGCCATCAGCTTCATTGCAAGGACTATATGCCTTGCTCTCCCTCGCCACGGACATCTACCTGCAGCCAGAAGCATACCAAGACGCAGCGTTCAAACCCGAACCGCACTGGAATCTATATTTGAGAAAAAAACATGAACGCAGCTGTTGCACATTCAGCTGCACACCCTGAGCCCAAGACGGCAAACCCTTGATACGGAACCCTTACATCCACGTCCAGTCCAAGCCAGTGCGAGAGGTAGGTGCAGTCTCTGGGGTTGACTTTGCCGTTTGCGCTGCAATCCCCCACGAGCGGACACCCGATGCAGGGAACAGTATCGAGAAGGTGCAGGTTTTCACTTTGATTCCACTGTGCGTACACCGCAACGCAGCAAAAACAAGTTTCTATGTGTGGGGCGGTGGTTCTCATCCTGGAGCACCCAGCAGCAACGAGCTGCTCAAAGGCCACCGCCCAATCAAGACTGTAGCAGCAACAGCACCAGGAGTGGCAGCAACAGCACCAGCAACAACAGTAGCAGCAACCGCACTACCAGCGCCAGCTTACAACAAATGTGGTCTCAGTTCCCGTGCGTATTCGCGCTACTTTGTCTTCGCACTCGAGCGTCGCTACCAGCTGTGATATGTCCTCCTCTGTGAACGCACTCCCGGCTACGTCACCTGAGGTGTACATAAACCGCAGGTTCTGAGGGTGCTCCCGGTTTGGTCACACAACAAGTTGCATTTGTAGCCCTTGTTATTCTGTCATTTGCTGTTGCTAAGTTTCCTTCTGCAGCAACAAGGGAGATGCAAAAGGCCTACAATGTGAAAAGCTGTGTGAATTAGGCCACAGTTCTAGCTTTCAGAATTGCGGGTTTAGAATTACCGCTGCTGCGCACGAAGGCCACGAGCGACGAGAATGTGGAGGACCTGGCGTTGCACAGAAACACTGCGAGGCGCTCTCGAAGTTGCTGCAAACGGCAAGACCCAAATGTGCAAGCAGCAGCCCTTTAGCGCCATATATCTTGGGTCTAGTTCCTTGTGTTTCCATGAAACAGGCCAGCAAGGCCTTTTCTCTGCTTGTTTTAATCCCGAGGGCTCCACCTTAAGCCCTCTTCCCCACCCCGTGGCCTACAGACGCACTTCGACAAGCTGTTCGTTGAATTCTCCATTCGTGTAGAATGAACCCCCTGCAATCTGCATGCGAAGCACCGCAGGAAACTGAGTCCCAGGACTCTTTCTTCTCTGCTCAAGCCCTATATCCTAGCCTCTTGCTTGAAGAGCCGGCTGCTGCAGTTTGCAGCGCCCAGCACTTAGCCGTGTGTGGGTCACCGTGCAGCAGTATCGCAAAACCTGCAAACCCTAAACCCTAAACTCTAAACCCTAGATCCTTAGCACTAAATAGGAGAACGGAAAGGCGTTTTCGCGGTACCTCTTTCGCTGGCTCCATGTGCGACAAGATGTACATTTTTCTGTTCTTAACGTGAATGCTCTTCACGGGCTTTATGAGCTGCAGGTTCTCGCAAAGATTTTTAACTCCTCTTTGAATAATGTGCGTCTGGAGTCCCGTGCTCTTTCGAATGTCAGCTGTCCAGACACCTGAATGCAAACCCTTCAGCCCCCAGCCTGGCCCTAAGAAAGCTTCAAGTGCCTCACAGTGGCCCCAAAAAGGGCGGTTCTCGCTCTTTCAGCGCAGCTAGCCAGCAGGCACTGTTGAAAAGAAGTGCCTAAACCCTAATCCCCAGCCTCCAGCCTGCATCCTAAGGTTAAACCCTAAACCCGCGCCCGAACTGCTCCCAAATCCCAAACCCCAAACCCCAGCGTGCACCCTGCGCCGCAGCCCTAGACTCCAAATCCTCGCCTGCATTCTGCACCTTAGGGCCACGCCCTAAACCCTAAACCCTAAACCCTAAACCCTAAACCCTAGGCCAGCTGTACCGGTGTTCCCTGCCAGCTCCACTGCGCAGTAAACTTTGTAGTCGAGCGCGTCCAGCTGCTTCAGCGCGGGGATGACGTTGGCCGGGCGGACGACGCAGCAAATGTCTGCAAACAACCCGGGCAGCAGCACTGAGGGTTTGCTGCTAAGGATCTGCTTTCTAAGGAAGGCGGGGTCACCTGCAGCAGCAGGGCTGCAGCGCTGCAGCGCAGGCGCAGCCTTCCCCCCTGCTGCGCTGCAGCATTTGCTGCGCGCGGGGCCGTCGAAACCTCAGCTGCACGAGCCCTGCACCCCAAACCCTAAACCCTAAACCCTAAACCCTAAACCCGAAACCCTCAGCCCCGCGTACTGTCGCCTTTCTTCCGGATCACCCCCGCCCTCGCTTCGTTGAGCCTGTTGAACACCGCGACGATCTTCTCCCGTGGCCAGCCCTGCAGCCCAAACCCTAAACCCCAGCCCAAACCCTAAACCCTTGCGGAACAAACCCTTTGCCCCTGGAGCTCACGCCGCACCCCTCTGCAGTCCAGGCCCCAAACGCTCGCAGCCCAGGCCCCAAACCCTTGCAGCACAAACCCTAAACCCCCAAACCCCAGCCCGTAGCCCCCTGCAGCCCAAGATCTAAGCCCCTGCAGCTCAAGCCCGAGGCCCCACAGCCCCAGCTCTAAACCCCAGCAGCAGCCCCAGCTGCTCCTAGCCGTGGCTCTTGACCCTCGAATTTAAACCCTCGGCCTCTGGACTTGGCAGGATTTAAAGCCCACCTGGTCTAGAAGCAGCTGCTGTGTCAACTCATTGTTGTTTCGCAGGCCCAAGTTGTACGCTGTGGAGAGGTCTTCGCCGCTTAAAGCTGAAGAGCCACGGGGGGCCCCCGCGGGGGCCCCCCTGGGGGTTTCTGCAGATGCGCGGGCCCCCTCATCTTTGGGTTCCCCTGCGGCGCTGCCTTCGCTTGGGGCCGACATGCGGGACCCTGGCCCTAAACCCTAGAGGGCCCTGAACCATAGACCCCAAACCCTAAACCCTAGTCCCTAAGCCCTAACTTATGCTCCAGAGAAGCCTCAGGCGTGCACCAGAAGGCCAGTGGCTTTGGCTCGCACTGCCGCTGCTGCTATATAGCCTCGATGCAGCTCTGCTGCTGCTGCAGCAACTCCATCGAGGCCGCAGCTAGCGCAGTTCCAGCCTTAGATGCCCAAAAAGTAGCACAAAATTCAGTAGTTCATACGGCATGCAGTGCTTGATAGGGCTAAAAATAACTACAATTTAATGCGCAGCAGCATTAAGTGTCTGCTCACTGCCCCGTCCAGCCCCAGTCTGTGCTTGATGTCCCGCCTGAACATGCAGGATCTCACGCTAGAAAGAATTAGCTTCTCTTTACCTCTATACGAGCTTCTAATATATTATGAAATCTTCGAAATTAACCAATCTGCAGCCGCAGCCAGCAGCGCCTACAAAACCCGTTGTTTCTCACGCTGCACAGCAGCAGCAGAGCTGCTGCAGTGTTGCAAGACTTCTCTCTGGGCCTCCAGAGCTCACTGGGGATTCCCCCAGGGCCCCAGTAACAACAGCTAAGCATTAGTTTATGTGTTTAGCTACAAATTTAAAGCTCAAATTGCTGCTGTTCTAAAAATCCAAGCCCAGTTGGCTTCGGGCAGTCGGCTCTGCTGGCCAGAGCCTGCGCGGCTTCGGCTGCGGCGGCAGCGGAAGTGGCTGTTTGGTTAACAGCGCAGCAGCAGCTGCTACGGGTCCCTCAGCTTCGTTTATCTGAGACCTGCTGCTGCTGCTGCTGCAGGGACGGGGTAGCTGCTTATCTCCTGCTGCTGCGCTGCAGTGCAGCGCAGCAGAAGATGAGGAGCAAAGCCCCGATACAGCGGCCCCGTTCATGCAGCCGTTGCTCTTTCTGGGCCCCCCCCAAAGTGAAGGCAGCTGGAAGAGCGGCAGCAGAAAGCTCAGCCGCTGCTGCGGGCTGTAGTGCTTCAAAGTCTGTTAGCTGCAGCGCAGCAGCAGCACGGGGAACTGCTTTCGAATTAAAAAGAAGTACGAGACACCCCCGCAGCTGCTTGAGCACTCTAAGCACTAGCTTGCATGCGCTGAAGAGCTTTAAATGCAGAACTTTGTTGGTGCTGCCTGTAAAGACTCAAAAATGCCGGGGGGTCTGAGCCCGAGAGCCGCGCTGCCGTCTCGCCTCAACGACTTAAGGGACCTCTCGCCAGCAGCAAAAACTCAAAACTAGTTATGTTACTTCCCTGGCCTCTCTTTATTTACTAGTGTTGCTGCATTAGTGGCATGTTGCTTGCAAAACTACCCCGAAATGGCCCTCCAGCTTCGACTCAGTGCAGTGAAGAACTCTTAAGGGGCCCCGATCTGGCCCAGAGCGCCGCTAGAAGGCGTGCAGGATACATAGCGTCTAAGGCTATTAACAGCTGCTTCGGCTGCTGCCTTCTACCAGTGAACACACAGGATCAACGGGGGTGAAGGGCGTGAATCCTCGCAAGGCAAGCGGCCTTCTAGCTCCCATCTCTAGCTAGAGGACGTGAAAAAAGTAATAAAATCCTTACTATGTCCTATGCGGGAGCTCAGTGGCTGTGGAATTCAGAGTGGACGCACATCGGCAGCGCCACTGCAGCAACCTCACGCAGCCCTCCAACGCCCGACGCCTCTTAAGACAGAAGCCTTGTCCCCAAATTAGAAGCTGCTAGATGGAAAATACCATTTTCATTTGCTTTTTAAGGCGCTGCTCTCAAGGGGCCATGGCTTTGCGCTGGGAGGCAGTGAGGCTGGCCAATAAGCCGTGTAGGGGGCCAGACAAACCCGGCTGGCTGCACAGGGCAAAATGGTCTGGCTATCTGTTTTGAAGAGAGTGCTTGAAGGCTTTATAAGAATTTATTTGACGTTTTGTTCCGTAAAAGGTCACAAACGGATCCCAAAACTCACAGACAGTCCGTTGTGCTATCTGAACAGCAGCGGCTGGCGCCAGCCAGCCATTCACAGACACCGGCGCTGCTGCGGCTACCCAGCTTGAGTTTCGATTTCCTTGTTTGGGCCTGTTATGTGTATTCTTAATATTGATTTTTACTTGCCCGCACTTCTTGCCAATCTAAAGCTTCCGGCTGGCACGTGCTTACCCGCCGAGCCGCGTTGCATGCCGTAGGCTTCGCTGATACAACCACTGCTGCTGCTCCTGCTGCTGCTGCAGCTGCTGCTGCTGCTGCTCAAGGAGTTCTGCTTTTAAATTTGGTCTTTTGGGGCCTCCACAGACGCCTGGAGCCTTGATCCGGGGCAGCTGAGACCTCGCAGCGAACGTTTCCGCCGAGCTTCCCGCGTGGTTTGCAATGGAAACTGAGTCGAGGTTTGTGGTGTTGGTCTCCAGCGACGGCGAGGAGTTCAAAGTCCCCAGAGATGTCGCTTCTGCCTCTTTGCTGGTGAAGTCCATGACTGAAGGTAAGCGGAGCTTCAGCAGCAGCTGGCAGCAGCAGCAGCAGCAGCAGCAAACGGGCGCGTGCGCCCGCGCGGGCTCGCTGCTGCAGCAGGGGCCCCCGCGCGGCTCGGAGCTTCGGGGATGCGCAGGGATGAGGGTTTAGGGTTTAGGGTTTAGGGTTTGGGGTTTGTTTTTGAACAGATGGAGACGAAACCGACGTGGTTCCACTCCCCAAAGTCAGCAGCGCCATTCTCAAAAAGGTCGTCGAGTACTGCACCCACCACCACGACAACCCCCCGGAGGACATCCCCACCCCGCTGAAGACCAGCAACTTGGCGGAGGTTCGCTAGGGTTTAGGGTTTAGGGTTTAGGGTTTAGGGTTTGGCAGGGTTGAGGCCCTTCCGTGCAGGGTCCGGCGCGGAGCTTAGGCTGGGATTCAGGCATTAGGGTTTAGGGTTTAGGGTTTAGGTTAAGGGTTTAGACCCGGACTTCTCTGCCCCTTCTCTCACGAACTCCTGTGGACGAGGTAGTGCCAGCCCGTAGTGCACTTCTAATGCAGTTAATAAAACAATTTATTTATTTTATTTATCCTATTTATTTATTTGTTTGTTTGTTTTTCATTTTAATTATTTTTTCATTTATTTCCTATTTTTGAGTTTCTTTCAGGTTGTTTCTGAATTCGACTTCAACTTTGTCAACGTGGAACAGACGGTGCTTTTTGATTTGCTGCTGGCAGCAGACTACTTGAACATTCCCTCTTTGCTGCTGCTCACCTCGGCTAAGGTGGCTTCTATGATCAAGGGTCAGCTGCTGCTGCTGCTGCTGCTCGATCTGCTGCTGCTGGAGTTGCTGCTGCTGCTGTTTCAGCTGCTGCGACAGGCCTTGCTGCTGGTGTTACATCCACTGCTGCAGTTTCTTCTTCGCTTGCGGGTGCATCTGGCGGTGTACGAATGTGCACTGCAGCCGTCGCAGCAGCAGCAGCAGCAGCAGCAGCAGCAGCCGCTGCTGTTGCCTTTGCTGCTGCTGCTGTGGCTGTGGCTGCCTGGGATAGGCCGCAGCAGCAGCATGAATGTGCTGTCTGTTGAGGTGTATGTACAGGCAGAAGCCCGGAGGAAATTCGCAGGGAGTTTAATATCGTCAATGACTTCACCCCAGAGGAAGAGGCTCAGGCAAGCGCTGCTGCTGCTGCTGCGGCTGCTGCTGCTGCTGCTGCTGCTGCTGCTGCTGCTGGACTTGTTTGCGGGTACTTTAGTGTTTAAATGGTGTACGGCTTGCGATTCAGGGTTTAGGGTTTAGGGTTTAAGGTGGCTAGTGTCTGTCTTTTGTTTCCATTGCAGATAAGGGAGGAAAACCGCTGGTGCGAAGATGCTTGAATGCGCGGACCTGCTGCTGCAGCAAAGAAGCGCAGCAGCAACAGCAGCAACTCGGCAGCAGCAGCGAAGCAGCAGCACTTTGTGCAGAGTGAACACTGCGCTCACATTCTTTGCAGTTCTCTTTGCTTTGCAGCAGACAGGAGCAGCAGGGCCCGTCTGGCTGCAGCTCCTTGGGGGGCCCCTCCACCCTGTAGCGAATTTGGAGCGCACTTACGGGAAAGTAGCCCCTTAAGGGGCCCCCGGGGCCCCACTCTGAGTACTGGGGGCCCCCGGGGGCCCCCTACTCAGTGCAGTGTCACCTCACATCTCTTCATTGAGTTCAGGGTCACCTGATATCCCTTTACCGAGTTCGGGGCCACCGGGGGGCCCCCGCAAAGTGCAGGGTCACCCGGGGGCCCCGCAAAGTGGAGGGTCACCTGGGGGCCCCCTTGGGGCCCCACTAAGTGCAGGGCCTTTGGGGCCCCCTTTTAGGTACAGGGTCACCTGGGGGCCCCCTTGTGGGTACAGCTTCACCGGGGGGCCCCCTTGTGGGTACAGCGTCACCGGGGGGCCCCCTTGTGGTGCAGGGCCCCTTGGGGGCCCGAACTGAGGGTCAAAGGGGGGCCCCTTATTATGTCCTTGGCCACTTGGGGGCCCCTTGCTGACTTTAAAGGGTTACGTGGGGGCCCCCTGCTCAGTAAGAGACGTCAAGGGGTCCCTTAAAGCTTGCGCTTTTGGGGGGCCCCACGCGGAAGGTTTTTATAATGCTTTGAGCAGCAGCAGTCCAGAGATACGTCTTAGTCTTAGAAAGTCACTTAGGTGTATGTACGCCCCAGCGATCCAGCCCTGCTGCAGCAGCAGCGGTGCTGCAGCCGCTGCAGCAGCGCAGCTGCTGCAGCAGAGCTTGAGCAGCTGCAGCAGCTGTAGCGCTCTTACGTGAGTACGCCGCGTGAGCGCCTTGGATGCCCGCTCCACCGTGATGCAGCAGCAGCAGCAGCAGCTGCTGCTGCTGCTGCTGCTGCTGTAGATTCATCGCTCTGCCAAACAGCAGCAGCATTGCGTAGGCCACAGGGCCCTCAAGCGGCCGCTTTGTCGCGCTCACGGACGCTGGAGGCCAGATATCGCTTGTGCCTGTTACGAATATAGAAATATATATATGTGTATATGTTTATATACATATATATATATATAATATACATATATATATATATATAAGTATGTATATTGTATACATATTCTATGTGTGCATATTTAATGTGTTTATATACATATACATATATGTATGCACATTGTATGCATTCCATATGCATATATTTACATTTAAATATTTAGAAATGCATATATGCCTTAGTGCGCATGTGTGCAATAGATATGCGCGCAGCACTGCAGCCAGGAGCACTTCAATGTTAAGCAACGCGAGAAAGTGCGAGGGCCTGCGTGCTGTAGGCCTACAGCAGCAGCAGCGAAAGCAGCAGCAGCAGCGAAAGCAGCAGCAGCAGCGAAAGCAGCAGCAGCAGCGAAAGCAGCAGCAGCAGCAGCAGCACAGAACGGCAGCAGCCAAGCTGGACTGTTGCTCGTATTTGAATGGCCTTGGAGGGGCCCTCCAGAGGACTCCCAGGGCTCTCCAGTTGCGGCTTTGAGCGGCTCTGTGTTGCTTGGATAGGGTTTATGTGTAGGGTTTATCTCTAGGGTTTATCTTTGGGGTTTCCTCTAGGGCTTAGGGTTCGAGGGTTTGGAACGAGCTTGCTGCTGTGGGCCAAGACCTTAGGGCCTAGGGACGAGGATTTGCCTCGAAGGGATAAGTTCTTGAAAAGGGTTTCTAACACCTACTGGCGAGGGTTTTGCGCCTAGGGTTTAGGGTTTATGGCTGCAGACAGTCCGGGGCCCTCCAGGGGCCCCCCGAACTGGCTTAGGGGCCCCCCTTAAGGACTTCGAGCGGATGCAGAGCAATATTCAACAGCTTGCCAATAATTCAGAATTAATTTCGTTTTTCTCAATTAGGTTTTAGGGTTAAGGGCCAAGATCAATCCTTTGGTGGTTTGTTCTCGCTGGCGGCTGCGGGCCCCCTGGGGCCCCCATGAGGGTTTGAGGCCCTGCACACCTTGAGGGTTTAGGGTTTAGGGTTTGAAGCTCATTCTTGAGGGTTTATGCTCTAGGGTCTAGGGGTCTTGGGCGTGCTGCTACAGCCGTGGCAGCCTCTTCTATTTCCTGCATCCCTGTACGGGTTAACCTTGAGAGCAGGAGCAGCAGCAGCAACGGCTGCTGCTGCTCCTGCTGCCACATCTCTTGCCTGCTGCTGCAGCAGGCTGGTGCGCCCTTCATAGTTCTTGCAGTCGTTGGCTGGCTTCTCCTCCAGCGAAATGCTGCGCGCACGACTGCTGCAGCAGCAGCAGCCAGTGCTGCTGCTGCAGCAACAGCGGAAGCTGGCACCTCGCATCTCGTTTGCTGCAGCAGGAGCAGCGGAAGCAGCAACAGCAGCACGAGCGCCTTCACGGCCTCCAGCTCCAGCAGCAGCACGAGGATTAGCTTCAGCAGCAGCAGCGGCAGCAGCAGCCGCCCCTGCTGCTGCTCCTCCTGTTTCTGTGGGGCCAGTGCTGAGGGCTGCAGCTCTTCGCCGGCCGGCGTTGCTGTCCTGGCCTTGGCAGCAGCACAGCAGCAGCAGCAGCACTTGCTGCTGCTGCTGCTGCAGCAGAAGAGGCATGGTGACTAGCAGGGCTCAGCTGCTGCTGGACCTTCCCAAATCTGAGGGAGATGACTTTCTCAAAAAGTGCGAGGAGGTGGTGAGGCCCTATCTAGCTGGCGAGCTGGTTATCTGTCTATCTATCTAGCTAGCTAGCTAGCTAGCTGGCTAGCTGGCTAGCTAGCTAGCTAGCATTTATCTAGCCATGTAGCTACCTAGCTAGCTACCGAGTCAGCTAGCTGACTGGCTAGCTGGCTGCGTGGCTAGCTACTTCGCTGCGATGCAGCCAGCCAGCTGGTCGGCTAGCTGGCTGAACGGCTAGTTATCCAGCTAGCTCGCTGGCCAACTATCCAGGTGGCCAGTTAGCTAGCTAGCTGGTTAGCTAGCTAGCTAGCTATGCTTGCAGGGTGCCTGTTCCTGCCGACCTTGCTGCTGCTGCTGCTGCAGATTAGTGCGGCAGCTTCGGAGTGGTTTGCTGTGGAGAGGGGTGTGCTGCTGCTTCTGCAACTGCTGCAGCAGCTGCTCCTGCCGTTTCTGCTGCTGCTGCTGCAGGCTGCAGCGCCAGCTCCTGCTGCAGGGCAGTGGGGCCTCTTGTCTTCCGTGATGCATGCGAAAGGAGGAACTTTATATCCGCTGCAGCTTTTGCTGCTGCTGCGGCTGTTTGCTGCTGCACCCTTTGCTGATGAAGCCCTTCTGGCCGCCGTGGCAGCTCGGTAAGATTTGAACTAAATAAATAAATAAATTAAATAAATAAATAAATAAATAAATAAATAGAACAATAAATGTAATAAATTGGATAAATAGCGGCTTTTCTGGCTTTCGTTTGAGCGATTTCCCACATAGAAGAAGACATGCAGAAATGTGCAAAGTTGCAAATTCTGAAATTCTTTTTGCACATTTGTGGCTCCTGTCCATAAATGCGGCTTCCAGCAGGTCTAATAGTTTTATTTTTGCTGCTTACGGATTTAAATGCATAAATATAAACATTTATTTGGGTTTTAATGCATATTTACAAAGTTTGCACTTGCTTTCTGCTGCTGCTGCTCGCTGCTCTTTTTGCTGCTCAGGGCGGAAGACCTTATTGCTGCAGCAGCACCGTCCAGGGCGGTGGAGCTGCTGAGCCTTTTTGCAGCTTTAGGCTTCACTCACCCTCTTGTGGGTTTTGCTGCTGCTGCTCTTGCTGCTGCCTCCTTTGCTGCTGCCGCCTCCTTTGCTGCTGCTGCCTGCCTTTGCTGCAGCACGCCTTTGCTGCTGCTGGCCCCTTCTGCTGGCGTCCCTTTTGCTGCGGTCACATTTGGCTACTGACCATTTTTGCTGTTGTGCTGCGGCTCGTGCGCCGCTGCTGCTCACGTGTTTCTGCTGCTGCTGTGCTGCTGTTGCTGCTGGTCTGTTGCTGCTTTGAATGGCGGGCTAATGTATCGCTGCTGCTGCTGGTGTTTCGCTGCTGCTGCCGCGCAGGTGCAGCAGCCGCTGCAGCAGCGCCTGCTGCAGGTGCTGCACTTGTTGGAGAGTCACCACTTGCCCTCAGCTTTGAACAGCCTTTCTCTGCTGCATATATTTGTCAGTTCGTCTGGAAGTCAAGAGATGCAAAAAGAAAAAAGCCAGAAGCAAGCAGCAAACGACAGCAGCAGCAAGCAGCAGCTGCTGCTTGTCGATGGCCTCGCCACACAGGCAGCCCTGCTGTGCGCAGCAGCAGCACAGAACAGCACAGCCACAACGCTTTTCAGGTAAGCCAGATTATCTGTCTTTGCTGCAGCAGCAGCAGCAACAGCAGCAACAGCTACAACAGCAGCAGCAAAAACAGCAGCAACGGCAGCATGAACAGCAGCAGCAGCAGCAGCAGCAGCATTTTTGCGTGTTACTGTTGCAGCTGCGTGGAGGCCCTCAGCCGACTGCGACACCGGCAGGAGGATTTGCTAGCCCTTTTCACGAAACGACTTGAGGCTGGATTTGAGGTAAACCCCAAACCCTAAACCCTAAACCCTAGAAAGGGGTCTTTCATCCAGAGGCTGTTGCTGTGGCTGCGCGCAGTCGCTGACCCTCAAAGACTTGCTGCTAGCTGCTGCTGCTGCTGAGCGCTACGGGCTGAAGGACTGTGCAGAGGCTCTCCAGTGAGTTGCTGCTGCTATCGTTTGCTGCTGCTGTTGTGTCTTTAAAGAAGTTATTTGTTGCATCAAATATAAAACTTAAGTCAAAACTGAGACAGCAATTACAGACAGACGCGAAGGGTCCGCGGCTCTGATCGAGCAAAGTGTAGCGTCTTCTGCTGCTGCTGCTGTTGCTGCTGTTGCTGCTGCAGTGAGGAGCTGCTCCGGCGAGCGCCAGACGCCTGCAGCAGCTGGGAGGGCCTTGGTAGGCTCTTGCACCTTCAGCACAAGTTCAGGTCAGAGGCAGCAGCAGCAGCAGCAACAGCAGCAGCAACAGAAGCAGCAGCAGCAGCAGCAGCAGCAACACTCAGCGCTGCTGTTGTGCTGTCTGAAGCCACTGCTGGCGCACCATTCTATGCAGCAAACGCACCAGACGCAAGCGCAAGAACAACAGTATCGCTGCTGGTGTTCCTGGGAGCAGCAGCAGCAGCAACAGCGGCAGCAACCGCAGCAGCAACAGCAGCAGAAGCATGCTTTCCAGTGTGCATCTGTCTTTGCTGCTTCCTGTCGAAGGCTGCGCAGTGATGCACTGCTAGGAGAGTGTCTAGCTGGCGCTGAGGGTCTGTTGGGGTGTACGTACACTTCAAAGCATCTGCCGAAAATAGCTCTGCTGCTGGCGATGTTGGCACCAGAAAATATGAAGCTCTTAGTGAGTTGCTGCTGCTGCCTTTGCTGCAGCTGTTGCTGCTGTTGCCGCTGCTGCTGTTGCTGCTGCTGAGCCGAGTTTTTTCTCGCGTTGTCCTTGCACGCGACTCGAGCTGGAGCAGAGTCGCTTGCTGCTACAGCTGCTGCTGCCGCTGCTGCTGCTGCTGCTGCTGCTGCTGCTTGCATCTGACTTTTTACATCTGAATCTTCTGCTTCAGGGAGCGCTGCTGCTGTCTCCGCACCTGTTGGCTGCGCTGCCGTCGCTGCCGAGCAGCAGCATCTGCGACTTTGCGCATGCAGCAGCGCTTTGTGTCTTTCAACTAATGCGGTAGGCTGCTGATTCTGCTGCTGCTTTTGCGACTTCGAGTCCTGCTGCTGCCGCAACAGCGGCTGCTGCTGCAGCTCTCTGTGGTGCTGCTCCTGTGCCTTGGCAGCTGAGGCAGCAGCAGCTGCTGCTGCTGATGATAGAAATGTTGCATGCTGTTGTTCCAGTCTTTCTCGCTTCCTCGTGCGGTCTGGCTGCGCAGCAACGAGGGGGTAGAGGCGCCGCTGCAGCAGCAGCTGCTGCGGCAGCTCAATGCAGCAGTGTTGCTGCTGTCTCATGTGCAGCAGCGCCTCTCGCTGCAGCAGCGAGAGACACTAAAGGAAATTTGTTTCTTCCTCTCTGCCGTTTCCGCGGACTCTGCTGCTGCTGCTGCTGCCGCTCCTGCTGCAGCAGCGATCTCAGAGGAGACAAAGGCATTTGCTGCTGCTGCTGCTCTGGCGCCGGCAGAGGGGCCCCTGCCGCGGGGCCCCCCCAGCCTGGACTACAGCCAGCTGGAGCTCAAGAGCGTAAGGCAGCTGGCGGCCTTTGGGGCTGCATGCGCTCAGTTTGCATGCATTTGCATGCATGCAAAGCGCATGCATGCATGCATGCATGCATGCAGCGCCTCCAGGTCTTCTGCTGCTGCATGCATGCGCAGGTCCTCTCAAGGAAGCTCCTGGTCGCAGCAGAGGGAGGGGAAGAAGTGGCGCTGCACCACGCAGGCGTGCACGAGGTGTACGTACAGCTCAACCCGCAGCAGCAGCAGCAGCAGCAGCAGCAGCAAGAGCAGCTGCAACGGCAGCAGGCGTCGTGTGAGGACTTGGAAGCGCTGCTTCCAGGGATCGCGCTGCTGCAGCAAGCCCCAAGCCTGACAGCAGCAGAGAGCTTCTCTGTTGCGTGTGTCGCTTCTGCTGCAAGTCCTCCTCTGCAGCACCGCCTTTGCCTTTTGGCTTAGTGCTGCTGGTTTCTCCTTTTGCTGCTGCGGCTGCCTGCTCCTGCCGCTGCTTGCTGCTGTGGCTGCTTGCTGCTGCTGCCCGTTCACCAGCCTAGCCAGCGAAGCCAACTGTAGCAGCACCCGCTGCTGCTGCAGCAGCTCCGCAGCAGCTAAGCAGCAGCAGTGCTGCCGCTGCTGCTGCAGCACCGCTGCTGTAGCTGCAGCACAGCAGCAGCAGTGCGGGGAGACCCCCAACAAGCGCAGCCACTGTCAATACATTAGAGCACTTGTGCACTGCTTTCTGTAGACTACGGCGCTGTGGGGCGCGACCCCACAGGCCGCAACAAACTCTTAATTAAGTGCATGCATGCACGCATGCATGCATGCATGCATGCATGCATGCATGCATGCATTTAATGAAGCCCTAGTGGCCTCTACCATAAGCTGCGCCTAAAGCCACGGCTTCTGCTGCAGCTCTAGAAGCCAAGCGCCCCTGGCTGTTGCGGCTCTTTCGCTGCAAGACTGAAGCTGAAGGCAGTGACGAAGACCCCCCGCAGCTCACGCTGCCCTAAACCCTAAACCCTAAACCCTAAACCCTAGGTCTCAGCGGGCCGCAACAGTTCTGGGGTGCCCCTGCGCGCCCAAACGCACACGTGCATGCAGCTACAACGCATGCAAAGCGCATGCAGCAAAAGCTTGGGGGCCCCCAGCTGGGGCCCCCAGCTGGGGCCCCCAGCTGGGGCCCCCAGCTGGGGCCCCCCAATGGGGCCCCCCAATGGGGCCCCCAGCTGGGGCCCCCAGCTGGGGCCCCCAAAGCGCCAAAGAGACAAAGAAAAGGGCCTCTAATGAGGCAACTTTGCTGCGCCAAGGCGCAGCAGCTGCAAACCAAGATTTCCGAATACCAAAGCAGCAGCAGCCGCAGCAGCAACGCGTGCCGCTACAGCTGCTGCAACGCACCGCCAAGCACCAGCAGCTGCGCCAGGCGCTGCTGCAGCTGCTGCAGCGCGAGGCCAAACAGCAGCAGCTGCAGCAAGCACCGCTGCAGCTGCTGCAACGCGCCGCCATGCACCAGCAAGCCAGGAGCTCGCCAGCAGCTAGCGCCTGCTGGCTAGCCATGCAGCAGCAGCCGCAGCAGCTAGCCAGGAACTTGCCAGCAGCTAGCTGCGCTTCTTCTCCTGCTGCAGTTCTGCTTCTGTGGGGCCCCGCAGCAAAAGTTCTGTAAACTGTTTTCTTGTGACCTGGTTGCCATCCCAGGTGTCTGGACACCTCTCGTCGCTAAACCTGAAGCACAGCAGCACATCTGAACTTCATCTGCTGCAGCTGCAGCACAAGCCAAAGCCAACAGCGGCTGCAGCAGCAGCAATCGCAGCAGCAGCAGCACGTGCTGCTGCCGACGAGTTGCACGTGCTGCTGCCGACGAGCTGCACGCAGCTCAACGGCTCCTGTCCTTCATAATACCTCTGGCTATTTTTGCAGAGCGAGGAATAAAAGCTGCTGCTTCTACTGCTGCTCCCAGTGCTGCTGCTGCTTCTGCCATAACTGTTCTTGCTGCTGCTGCTACCGCTGTTACTACTGCTTCCCTTGCAACTGTTTTTAATGCTGCTGCTTCTCGTACTACCAAATGCTGTCGCTGCTGCTGCTCGTGCTAATTCTGCTGCTGCTGCGAACGCTATTTTGCTGCTTTT